ACATGACGACAAAAAAAATGAAGCGATACCCTTCAGAATCTACACTTGCCCTCTCTCTTTTTAAGTTTGCAACTTTTCCTACATTCTAACCAAATTGGATGTTTTTTGGAGTGATTTGATGCTTAAGTATCATCGCACGAGGATACCTGCTGTTATGATCACCGTGATCCTCCACAGACGCTTGAAAAAGAACAGAAATCATCATTTATCTCTGTTTCTCATCACATTGACTTTTACTACGAATTTCTGTTTTTCTATTATTCCTAGAGGCTTCTTATTTTCTGCCTCCTGTCGTCACCTCGTCACACACACACACACACACACACACACACACACACACACCTCCCTGTTTCTCTCCTTCCTCTCTGGAATGCACTGAATGTCCTTATCTTTGCCCATGCAAACACAAGGGTGAGCCAGCAGCAGAGGTTGAATTCCTCTGCAGATCCCAGGCCGACTGGCTGCACCACAAACTGGCATCTAGACAGCCTACAAGTTAAAAGACCCCCTACACGCACTGAAGAATGCTCCGTAAAGACGAGACGTAAAGCATGACCTACTTGTTTATCTTTTGGCCGTATTTTTGGCGTCTGGCAGCTGTTGCACTTTCCCATTTATGCAACTTCATTTCCAGCAACCTTAACTTAACAACTGAACCAGAGACATCCTCATAATTTCTATCCTGCACATTAGTCTGCCCTGTTAAAACCCAGCGCTTTCATTATACATGATGCATCTTTGGCCCCACACAGTTTGGTTGGGAGATTCAGAAGTGTTATGCTGCTAACCGCTAATGTGGCATTAGAGCTGCTGGCCTCAAGTGAAGATGACGAACAAGCTACAGAAATCACTTCTTTCAGGCTAAACATATTTTTATGAGCGCTTTGAGTGTAATGGTGGCTTTCAGTGATGTTTCCTGTTGATAAATTGGTCTTAAATGTGTCCAGAAGAAGTTAATCCATCACATAAGACTGAAAATCACAGCTTTGTGATATGAACCAAAGTCACACACACACACACACACACCTAGATGCAGTGTCTTGTATTCCGCTTCTCCAGACAGCTTTCCTCCAGACGCTCGCACACAGGAGCCATTGATACCTCCACACAATGCAGCCTCAGAGGCAAACACATGGAATCACAATGCGGCGGCTGCCATACACGCAGCTTTTACGTATGCTTGTGCATAAAATTACTATGACAAGGAACACACAAAAGACAGAGCTGCTCAGCGTTGGTGTCCATGCAGGCCACAATAACACACACACACACACACACACACACACACACACACACACACACACA